TCCGTCATACTCCTGTACGGGTGCTGCTTGTGGGGACTGGTCTGTTCAGGTTGCGAACACCGATTAGATTTTTTTGATTTTTTTTATATAGCATATGCTGGTGGTCACTCTATTCTCCCAAATTTGAATTGAAAAAAAAATGAAATAGTGTTGTTGTAAATATGTACAACATTAAAAAAAAATACGAGCTGAGTTTCTTGTCAGTTCTTCTCATCTCGAAATCATTCCCAACTGACGGTAGATTTGACATATCATAAGAGTCTGTAATAGACCTACATGAATAAAGATATTTTGAATTTGAATATTGAATTTGAATTTGATCTCGCCACCGATTACGACACGCGCACTCAATATTCTACCATTTTTTGTATTTCATATTTTAATAATTACATCTAATCTACAGTCCATAACAAAAACCTTTAATTTAAAAGTCCTTAGTTTAGAGCCCTACATTAATGGTCCTTACGAGTGCGACCTGAAAAAAATCAGCACTACATTTAATACAGGAGCACAATCTAGAACATACTGGAAGCCGTTTTTGAAATCTGGCCGTTACAATTTCAAACTTGGTGCGCTGGCTGTCTTCGCTTCAATGGTGGATTGAAGTCGTCTTCAATAGTTCGTCGAAGAGTTATCAGGGAAAAAACGTCACGAAATCAACAAATAATAAATAATATGTTATCGTAATGAGTAATATATCAAAGTAGAGTAAAGTTTATTTATTTACCATCTACCCAACCCGGGTTCGAACTGGTACATGTATTATATATGTAAACCTTCCTCTTGAATCACTCTATCTATTAAAAAAACCGTTTCAAAATCCGTTACGTAGTTTTAAAGATTTAATCATACATAGCCCTTTCAGACCTTTAATATTTTTTTACATCCCATGGATTTGGTAAATTTCATGTGTCTAAAGTATAATATATATATATATAAGGAGACTAAAAAAATAAATAAAAAAAATATATCTTAATGTTTTCAAAACAAATTAGTAGTACTAAATTAAATAGTTTTAATAGTTAATTACATTCCTGAATATTACTCTTATAAACGCCATTAAAAGCTTTTTCAAAACGGGTGGCGCCATGTAGTTAATATATTCAAAAACTATTTTTATAACAATATCACTAGATGTCGCTGTGTAACAGAAATTAGTTATTCAAGTCTCGGTTTTCGTTAATTTGCCGTGGAAATGACCTGTTTATTTATTTAATCTGCCATATAACATTAATGTAAACAACTGAATAAGATAACAAGACAATATTAAAATATTTTAGTCAACCCATTTCATAAAATTCATCTCGCAATTAAGTAACAAAACAGTTGTAGTCATAATCGTAATCGCCAGATGTCACTATTTGTGAAAATTTAAGGTAACTTGTGTAATTATTTGTTTTCAGATTTTAATAATGATAAAATTATGTATAAAGTAGATATACACGTGCCTACACTTGTAATATTTCTGTCGACACTTGAGATCCTTCTATTAGTTTACGTCTCCACTAATATAGATTTAAGTTAAGTGTAAAATCAGTCTACATCCCGACTCCGCGTCGACTGTACGCGTTATTATTAAGCCATGTAGCACACTACTAATAAACTTAATAATATCTAATAAATAGTACAATCATTTTACCACTGTACTGACTACCTACATTTTTTTTTTATTGAGTTGGTTGGACTATTGTCAGATGTGTAGCACCTGTAGCACTGCGACCTACATAGATCTATTGCCCTTTTCAAAGTTCGCTACCTAGACCCGTCAGGGACAAGAATTGAAGGATATTCTTAGGAGCGATGGTTTTTATCTCCTCGGGAAAGAGTGTAAACTTTCCAAAGGAGATATTTAGTTTATGCATAAGTGGGCTACAACCACATAGGATGTGAAGCGGCGTATCCTCTTCAGTTTGGCAGAATCTGCAGATACTTATCGTGCATAGGCCTAGTTTAGCCATATGCTTGTTTAATTTGCAGTGTCCTGTGAGGGCCCTAGTCATCATGCATATGTTGTTTATACTCAGTAGCAGTAGTCTATTGGAGTATTTGTTCGAGAAGCCCGATATTATGTCTTTTGCATGTGTCAATCCTGGCATTTCTTGCCAGTGATTCAGTGCTTCTCGTTTGGTTATTAATTTGAGATGTCCCAGTTTTAGGCAACGAGGCACACCACAGAAGGGTTCGGGGCCCAGTTGGACGATTTTTGCTTCTAACTTTGCCAGATGGTCGGCATTCTTATTGCCTTCAATATTTGAATGCCCGGGGACCCATCTGACTACCTACATACTACAATAAATAATATATTATGTAGCGCCACCTCATCACAACATATATAACGGTACAGTGATGAGGATAACCACCGCGCTACATACCTAATATTTTAACAAAAATGATTGTGAAGTCAAGATCGGATAAGTATCATACCAGCTTATATCGTTAGCACAGAGGTGTATAATTCCCCAAGCTTACCCAACAGATATCCTGTCTAAATATGAATATTGAATTCGCATTGGTATAATTAAAAAAAAATACTGTATAAACTTCTTAATTGAACCTTCTGCTGAGAATAGCAAAACACAACAAAAACAGAATACCCGAAATTAAAACCAGCTGTTCACGAAATATGCCACGACCAAAGGTAATCATAACATAATAAACATAATACAGATAAACATAACACTATATTACATAGTATATATAGTAGTGTATAGTATATACGGATTCATTTATATATATATATATATATATACTAGCGTCGTAACCCGTCCCAGCTTCGCACGGAATCATTACTCTGTACATATATTGGCTTGTTCTGTACTATAATAGGCAACATTATACAGATAAACCTTCCTCTTGAATCACTCTATCTATTGCTGCAAACTGCATTAAAATCCATTACGTAATTTAAAAGATATAAGCGAACAGACAGCGACTACAAAAAAGTGCAGGAGTACTATATATTTTATTTACTTTATATTTACTTTTATATTTTTTTTACTTTTATAGAATAAAACACAATAAAAGCTTATAGCATTTAATCAACATACAAATTTGGATATTTACAATAAAATATGACTTAGTTAATATGTTAACTAACATAGCTTATAATACAATATCACTTTTTAAGGCACAAACATAAAATAAGTACAAACACAGACTGTTCATATTGATTTCATACATACATAAACATAACTATTAATTTAACTTCACGCCTATGGCTGTTAGAAATCACAGGGTTTAATCTTTCACTATTAATTATTCGGAATATTATTTAAAAAAAAGTTTGTGCAGCCTTTTCTTATTCTAGGCAAAGGCTAAAGACATAACATATACAGCCACGTTTGTAAAAAATATATAAAAAAGATTATACAAAAAAAAATATTACGAAAAGAACTACACTGCAACTAGCCATGCTGTCAGTTAATAATACACCTTGAAAAACAACTATGGTAATAAAAAAATAAGAAAAAACAGTTACATACGGGTAATTAAAAACACACATAAATTATTAATTACAAACACAGCAATCCTATATCACTAACGTATTATGATCAATAATTAAAAAAAAAACTGTTTGATACGTTTTTAAAAAAATATATATCATTATTAAAAAATAAATGTAGGTACATTACTATTTTTTCATATTACTGGAATAGCAAATAAGTTGTTGGACTGAATTACTTATCACCAATGTATATATAAATAAATATATATATTTATATATAATATGACGGCCACTGGACCACTGTCTAGTAGTTTACCATCGCCTACCTATAAGGTACTCCGATGATACAAACGAATTTTAAATGCCCATACTAGCGAACCTATGTTTCCGTTCCTCAGGATTAAGACATCATACCTTGTCCTCATTCCAGATCAGAACACATATCCATTTGTCATTAAAATTGTTTTTTGTAGTAAATACAATTACAAAATATACCATAATAGTTTACATATAGAAAAACACGAACACAGATTATAATATACAGTTTATGATTAATAAAAATTCAGTAAAATTACAGACGACTCGCTCCAAAGAGCTGACTATCCAGAGGCGTAAAACCGTTATCAAAATAATACACGGTGACATTTTAAAAAGTTACGGTTGCATAAAAAAAGAACGCAGATTAAATACAAAATGGCGCGAGCACAGACCAATCACTTAGCGGGAAAGAGGTTAGAAAATAATATAAAAAGACACAGTCTTCCAATACTTATCGTTGATTTATATCACAATTATTACTCTTGTTATTGAAATTTTAATTGCTTGATTTGATTATTGATTTAGTATCCCAACTCTCACAAGGAATAACTTGTACGTTTAAATATAATGTATTCATATTGTAAGATCCCTTGTGACCTGTTAAATAAAGATTATTATTAACATGTTAATTAAATAATTCAAAAATTTATTGAAATTATATGAATTAATGATAATTTATAAATATAATTAGTAAATCACGGGATCTTACCACGTTTTATTTTTGTTGAGTTCCCGATATTTAGTAATTATACTCATAAATAATGACTGCGTCAAACTTAATGATAATTAATTGTGAATTTCAACTAATTATTGTAATATAATTGTTGAATATGTATCACATGTCTTATGTTCTTTTTATTAATAACATCTATAATGTACCATGTGAGAAGCAAATAAATTAAATTGAAAAATTAAAAATATAAGTGAATAAAAATATATAGGTACATCTAGTTTTAGCAATATAATTCTCATTCGATGACGAGAATTGACATTTTCATTACATTACATAAAAAATAGTAGAATGTAAGTCAATCTCGATTGACTTTTTCGTACACATGTTGTAAGAAAAAAAAACAAGACGGATTTTCTCTTCCATTTTTAAATGGTAATAAATCTATTTGAATGAAGTAAGAACTATTTTAAACCAATTAATAGGATCTTAAATAGCGCTGTGACAGAAAAGACTTAAAAACAACAAATGTCTTAATGTTTTTTTTTAAATGGTATAATGGAATGGTGACTCCAACTGCGTTATCGATATACACTGGCGGGGCACCAGTGGGGGATGATAAGATAAGACATGTGGTCTGCTCAGTTGGCCCATATTGGCAAATTCACCAGGAGTTTGTCACTACGGTTTCCAGGGAGAACCGTGCAGAGATCAACGTGACATGATTAGACCTTCATTGCTAGCAATGGTGTCAACAATGATACACTACATGTTACTACAGGTTTTGAAATTCTCAAACTTATGTCTATTGGAATGTCAATTAAAGGAGTATATCACATTTGAAGTTAAGCTGGTATAGCTTCACGCACTTATCTGAACCGGTGACTGAGACCTTCTGTTGTAGCATCGAGCACTACAAGAGACTTGACGGAAATTATAAAAAATAATCGTAAGAAAATAAGTTGTAGGTTAAACTGTTTAGTTTATAGGTAAAAGCAGCCGCGAGCGGCAAGTTCCAGTACCTGGGGGCAGTCGCTTTCGGAGTAGATGTAGGGACCCTGAGGCCCCAACAGGAGAGGTAGAAGACCCCAGTCAGTCAGACTTGACATCGATATAACATTCAGAATAGCGATAATAGTTCCTATTAGTCACCGGGTCAGGTAAATTTGTGGCACTGTAGGTACATCATGTGTGTATTAAATCTACTCAATTTAATTCGGCACAACGTAAGCAATAAATGAAGCTACTATCGCGATCACAATCAATGATGTCGAGCTAGAACTTATTGCAGAACTATTAAATACAGATGCAATGTTCTTGGTGATATTCTTTACTTTATTTCCAAATTTATCAAATTTCTGAAGAATATCTGATCGCGCTGTCACGTCGCATGCAGTGTGGCTAATTGCATTAATAACAGGCGCTGAGAAGACTCTAAAATTGACTTCATCTGGATTTAGGTTAGAATACATCCAAACGGGTAATTTGTTTGATAGAACCCACAAATTATCGTTGTAATCCACTTTAATATCGGTGGGGTAAACCATAGTTTCATCATCCATGTAGATTCTTCCTTGGTTCTTCATCAAATATTCCTTGTTCGACGTCTTCCAACATGCAACAGCATTAAGATTGACTAAAGAATAGAAGAGAACACCGGTTTTCTGATCGAGGAATGACGCACTCGACTGCGAATTGGGTCCTCTAGTTCCCAAGTTTTGGAAAGCTTCGAAATTCGTCTCAGCTACAGATTCGTTCCTAAGATATTCCGTAGATACTTTGAATTCGTAATAACTGGACATCGGGTGGAAGTAAAGGGTACTGAAGCCATCAGGATTCGGTCCTGATATGCCCATACCGAAGATCGCATCAGTCCAATTGAAGGTGAGACCTTTGACGTTATACTCGCAAGCAAGAGGATCTGGGTAGAAGAAATGGTGTGATATCCTCCAAGATTCATTCTTCTCCCAGGAATAAACAACTAGACCTGCTTTACCAACGTCACCAAGGTAGGCATACGTCTTCTGGCAGTCCGAGTCTTCGATAGCAATATTTGCAAAACCAGAGTCTTGTTTTACTTGATTTTGTGGTATTTCGTATTTTCGTATGAGATTATCTGAGGTTAGATCGTAAACTATAATAGAAGGTGGATATATAGTAGGTACACTTTCCAAGCTGCCAATTTTGCCATTGTCCAACACCCAGAGACGGCTGCAGCGATCGATGCGTGTCCTAAAGGGGGATATTATTTCTGTTGGCTTCGAACCGCTGTGTGCCGCCCAACTTGGATAAGGCTTGAGTTTTGGTGATGTGTTGTTGGTATCTGGAATGTAAAACATATTTTGTTTGATTTTTTTATTCTTATTGGAATAGCAAACAATCTAACGGTTCATCTGGAAGTAAGGTAGCTGGTAATTTATAAATATAAATTGTATAATACCATAACAATCTCAGTATTATATACATACTAGGTGACCCTCGCAACTCCCGTCTGCAAGTTTCATTGCAGCTCCGCTCCTATTAATCGTAGCGTAATATTATATAGCTTAAAGCCTTCCTGAACAAATGGACTGTCCAACACAAAAAGATTTTTTCAATTCGAGCCAGTAGTTCCTGAGATTAGCGCGTTCAAACAAACAAACACTTTAGCTTTATAATATTAGTATAGATTTATAAGAAATGCATCCGATGCAAAACGATAATTTCTTATAATACATCTAAGAAATAAATGTATATTTATTCTCGATTATTAAAAGGATATTCTTCAAATGGGAATTCCATCCATTATGTTCTACCGAGACGCAATTACAAGGTCAATACAACCCACACGGACTACTCTATATGTTTAATCTTTGGTATTACAAGTTTTCCTTAGTACCATAATATTTTTTTAACGAAAAATTAAAGTGACATAGTGCACTCGTCTGTTTTAATGAGCTAGAATAATAATACGCTGGGGAGGTTAAGCACGTTAAAAAAAAATGTTTAAATAAGAGGAACCGAGCGGAGATGTTAGGGAGTTTGTGTATTAATTAGACTACAAGTTTATTATGTACCTAAATAAGAATAAACGACAAATAACAGTTTCTCGTTTGGTCCTTTCATTAAAAAAATATTTTATTCCTTATAAAAGTCCAGACACGAAAAATATAATTATATTAACGCTCATGAACATCCGCAACACCAGGGGAACAGCAAGTGCATTTCCGGCCTTTTAAGAAGAATAAGTTTCGATATTGTATCGGTTCGGAAATACCATTGCTGGAAGGTGGAGTGTGTGGTTATGCGAGGCAATAAGTTTCAAGAAAAACACACAGTTGATACCCGCAATTCATCAATGATATTTAACTGACAGTCGTGTTGTAAACACCAATAACAAACGGGGTCAAACGTTGCATTCACCACGATGTCTACATTACTATATAATGTTATTAAGTAGCTTTAACTCGCACTTGTTCGTGTTACAATTTGACATAACACTTACGCAACTTGCCATTGCTCTATTGCTCCTACAAATGACATTGATCTCAGAGTACACCGTAATAATTAGGGATGTGAAAAAAAAATTATCGATTTACCAAAAAACCGATTATAATATTTTTTAAAAAATCTATTAATTAGTAATCTATAAAAATTACACCATGTACTGTCCTAAAATAAAATACCCGCAGCCCAAGAGATTCCATATGTTACAAATGATATTGATCTCACTGTAGGTACCCCGTAAGAATTAGGGATGAGAAAAAAGTATATCGTATATGCGAAAAATCGATCAGTTCACAAAAAAATATAATATTACAATAAATCAACTAAGTAAAACATTAAGAATGTGAAAAATAATTGACAAATTAATAATATTTTTTTATACTCGATATTTTTGAAATGGTCTAACAATAAATCGATGTACTGACCTACAAAAACTCCACAGGCCAAGGGACTCAAACAAAGCGCATAAAAAATATTGTTTACAGAAAAATCGATTTCCTCTATTTTAATCGATTCGAAAAAATAATTGATTAATATAGATAATCAACAATTACTTTTTATACACAATATCACATCACTAGTAATAACCTAGCTCTACATTGCGCATACCTTTTAAATCGACGTAGTTCAAACTAGCAGGCACGCCTTGCCTCCACCTTGGGACGGTTATGAACAGCTTGTCTTGAAAGATCTCCAACCCCATTGGGATGTTGTTTTTGGGGATGAAGTTCCCGGTATCTATGGCCTGCTGTCTGAGGGCTGGAGTCGTGAAGTCATAGTCTAGCTCTTTCCATTGGAAGCGTATTTTGAGCTGCTCATTGCATGTCGCAGTGTACACGAAGTAAAGAAGTATGAGGACTTGGGCGCCCCCCATGTCTGTAATCTGGAAGAATTAAAACGTAACCAAATTAAAATATAATCTCATCATAGTTTTATGTGACGTTTACTACGTCCTCGGTGAGCTAACGGTTTAGCATACCGCCTTACTTTCGATGGTCGCGAGTTCGACTCCTCGCACGGCACTATCTTGCTATTTATAAATTGGTATATATTTATAAAAAAAATCTAAGTATTTGTATGAAATACAAAATATATCAGTCTTTACCCATAACACAAGCTCTGCTTAGCTTGAGACTAGATGGCGCTGTGTTAATTGTCCAGGGTTATTAATATATATTTTTTTAATTTTTGTAATCTCAATATTATACTTAAACAATTTCAAAAATTCATAAATATAAAACACCGCTAGGGGTTCTAACCTATGCTCAGATAAAATTTCGATACATTTGAATTCGATGGATTGGTTATAAAATAAGAAAATCACATCGTATTCAAACGAAATCAAAAAGCATTTACACATTTAGGACATTTTAGCCGCTTATAAATGTAATTTATTTTGTATTAATATTTTTCCCTACCATTCAATTCAGTATACACATTCAATTGACAAGTCCTGGCAAGAAGTTTAATATCACAAGTAAGTATATTATTATATTTAACATTGACAATATATTTACGATTGCTTGGCTATTTTGTTTGATCAGGTGATACTATGTTCATTTACTCTCTTATATTAATAGAAATATCTGTAATTATTTCTTCTTTACCTTCACAATGTTCTGACCTTCAAAGCCCGTATATTCTGTATTCATTTTTAAATATGACTAACTATTATATTTAAGTATAGGAGTCTGCAGCGCTGCAGGTTTATGCTGAGTTGGTAACCGATTCGCTTTTGCGGTACATACAGCTACCTCCATATTCTTTCATTTGTATACTAGCTGTGCCCGCGTTTTACCCGCGTTAAATATATTATAGCATATGTGTTATTCTGCTGCATAAGCTATATTACTGTAAAGTTTCATTAAAATCCCTTCAGTAGTTTTTGGATGAAAGAGTAACAAACATACATACTTAGAAACTTTCGCATTTATAATGTTATTAGCTGTCCCAGCAAACGTTGTTTTGCCTTAAAATAAAAATGAAAAATTATGGGTGGACTACCCCTAACATTTAGGGGGATAAAAATTGATATTGGCCGATTCTCAGACCTACTCAATACGCTCACAAAATTTCATGTGAATCGGTCAAGCCCTTTCCGAGGAGTATGGGAACGATAACTGTGATACGAGAATTTTATATATAACATATATTAAGATTCAATCTTTCGATTATTCAAAATTCTTAAATATGTAATTCTGAACAACTTTTATATAAAACTACCAATGCCTCTAACTACCCCATCTGAAGTAATAGTTGTGAAGTTATGCTTATTTTGTTTTTAAATATTTACCTACTTTATAATTCTTTCAAAAAACTCTCTTAATTTAACACACTTGCGGTAAATAGCTTCACATCCTTACAAACATTTATTTAGCCTTTCACTTGAAAGTAAATAGTCAGAAATTTTCTAGAAACGATCGCGTATTGTCCATGTTGTGTGAATAGAAAGGTACCAAGAATGAGACCTTGTGGGAGGCCAGAATTCAATTCCGAGAGACCTCGGCCTTAGAAGGAAACGTATTAATATTGATATTGACTTGACAAGACTATCGAATTTTAACTAGGTACTTACAGTAATTAATTTATATGATTAACCATAGCGCATTACCAAATATATAATGCAATTATTTATTAGAAGAAGAAAGAAAGAAGAAGGCACAGAAGGCGGTCTTATCGCTAACTCTACCTCTTCCAGAGAACCTATTAATAAAAATTAAGTAGACAACAGCATACGAGTGGAAATAAGTTAACGAATACTAAAGTATGGGCGAAAAGGGATTGTTAATAATATGGACTGATGATCTCATTGCTAGCAATATACCATGTCAGGTTATCTTTTAAGCGGTTCCCTCTAGAAACCATCGTGATAAATTTTTGGTGAATTTGTCACGATGGGCTAACTGACCTGACCTCATGATCATCTTATCATCCTCCACTGGTGCCCTGCCAGCGTAAATCGTTAGCGCAGGCGGGTGCACCATTCCACTATGCATATACTCTATGTGAAGTGTCTAATATTGAAATAAACGTTTTTTGCTATATGCATATAATTATAAATATACATACACCAAAATAACATTTTATACAACTTTTGTCTGTCTGTTTGTTCCGGCTAATCTCTGAAATGGCTGGACCGATTTTGACGTGGTTTTTATTATGAGGTAGCTGACATAATAAGGAATAACTTAGGCTACTTTTAATTTAGAAAAATTAAGTTAAATTCCACGCGGACGAAGTCATCCATAAAACATACTGAAGTACCTATGCCTACATATAAAATTTTATTGCGTGGACAGACAACTGTGACGTTTCCTACTTCATGTTTTCTTTTAAACGCTAATACTTGTTATTTCAACATAAAACATTAAAATAAAGATCTGTAGCTAGTATTACGTCAACATTCTCAATAGCAACCGGTTACTGAGCTAGGAATAACGACGAAAGCTTGAACTATAATTTATATATGCGGTGAATGACCTAAAACGTTATAGAGTTTTATAAACATACATTGTATAATCTGTGATCGTAAATCGGCCATTGTTTATATGTACAGTCAATTGTGTTACTAATACATAATGGAAATAAGGTATGTTATTGCATAATAGTGTCTACAGCACGCTTTATATGTTATCATGAATGAGTCGTGATAAAATTGCACAGCGTATTAAATGGATGAGTTCCATTTACTTAAAAATGAGAATTTTCTCAATTTTCTCTATTGAAATTAATCAATAACAACATTTATGACGATACGGGAAGATTTGCAGCAAATAACATGACGTTTTAACAGCCTCGATGGTGTAGCGGTTAGCACACCGCCTTACATCCGATGGACGCGGGTTCCATTCACACGGTACAAACATTTGTATATCTGGGTATGATTGTTTGTATCGGTCTGGGTGTTTTCTATGTACATTACGTAAGTAAAAAAAAAGTATCTAATCTATGTATCAGCTCTGCTTAGCTTGGGACTAGATGGCGCTGTGTGAATTAACCAGAAATATTGTATTATATTATACTAGCTGAGACCGCGGTTTCACCCGCTTTAAATTTCAATATAAAATATAGCCTATGTTGTTCTGATGCATATAAGCTATATTACTGTAAAGTTTCATAAAAATCCGTTCAGTAGTTTTTGCGTGAAAGAGTAAGAAACATCCATTCAAACTTTCACGTTTATAATATTACTATCTACTCGCCCCGGCTTCGCACGGGTGTACATGCATTATATATATAAACATTCCTCTAGAATCACTCTATCTATAAAATACCCGCTTCAAAATCCGTCGCGTAGTGTTAAAATGTTGTTGTATGTTTAAGCATACATAGGGACGGACAGACAGCGACAGCGACTTTGTTTTATATTATGTAATAATGATAATTAAGATTATTTGAACACCAACCAATTCAGTCATCTTCAGTCCAGTTATAAATGAGCTTGTCTCTCCATCGGTCCATTATATGTTGCGTTACCTTCGGCAGAGGAACGCGAAATACGAACGTAATTTACTGCGAGTCTAAAAAATCTGGTTATGAATAATTGATACAATTCTTCGATATCAATAGTACTAATTACTCGACCATGTCCTCGTTTATATAGGCATGGAACTTGGAATTACAAGTACATAAAGCAATGACAGGAAATAACTTAAAAAACTTAATAACTAAATTGAGACTTGATGCTTAACGATTTTATTGATATACTAGCAGTGCCTTCATATATAGCCAATATATAGGCTACAAATTTCACGCAGCTGAAACCTTATGTATAAGTTATATTACTGTAAAGTTTCATCAAAATCCATTTAGTTCAGGCATTTTTGCGTGAAAGAGTAACAAACATCCATCATATTAATAAGGTTTATTTAAAAAAAAATCTATATCAGTTGTCTAGTACCCATACCACAAGTTCTGCTTACCGTGGGACTAGATGGCGCTGTGTTATTTATTTATGTTTAAATGACCCGATAATAGCAAGGAAATAGGAAACTCAACAATTGTCATGCAACGTGCGAGATTAAGACGCCATTGGTCTCTTCGCGTTTGTAATACCAATTAAATCTATTAAACCTGCTCACGACATTAGATGTAACCGTGAGGGCCGCTCATTAACTGGCTTCAATTGAAATTCCCCGCTTAATTGTGTTAATGAGGTTTTTGTGACAATGTCGCTTCAGTGTCTCGCATACGAGTGAAACTCTGATTTGCATTTACTAGACAACTGATATATATACAAATAGTAAATAAATCTTATTATTATTAATATTATAAACCCGAAAATTTGTGAGTATAGATGGATGTTTGTTACTCTTTCACCCAAAAACTATTAAACAACTTTTGATGACTCTTTACAATAATATATCTTATACATCGGAATAACATATCCTTAATATAATAAATGTGAAGGTAGAGATGTTTGTTACACTTTCACGCAAAAACTACTGAACCGATCATCATGAAATTTTGTACACATGTTCTTGGAGGTATTAGAATAAACATAGGATACCTTTTAAAAGAACAAATATTTTTTATAATAAACAATATAGTGATCGAATCAGAAATGAGGAGATCCGAAGAACCGGAGTGACCGACATAGCCCGAAGAATTGCGACATTGAAGTGGCAATGGGCAGGGCACATAGCTCGTAGGACAGATGGCCGTTGGGGCAGTAAAGTCCTCGAGTAGCGACCACGGACCGGAAGACGCAGCGTGGGAAGGCCTCCAGCAAGGTGGACCGACGATCTGGTCAAGATCGCTGGAAGGCATTGGATGCGAGCAGCGCAGGACCGTTTCGTCGTGGAGATCTTTGGGGGAGGCCTATGTCCAGCAGTGGACGTCTTCCGGGCTGCGATGATGATGATGATGATGAATAAACAATAA